AGCAGCGAGTGCTGACACGCAGCGATGGCAGCAGGAGCCTGCCTTGGAGCCCCTGGAATGCGTGAGCTGTTCCTTGGCCCACAGAGGTGTGGGCTGGGGAGATAGCGCAGGAATGTGCAGTCTATAACTTGGGAGATGATTGCCCTTTTCAGTCCAGCTTGAACTGGTAAATGGGGCTTATCCTGAGGGATTGTCCTGTTCTTCCACCTTGCTGATTTTCTTGGTAAAGGGGTTTTTCCTGAGCGGTTCAATGCATTGGGCATCAGCTTGAGAGTTCTTGTCCTGAGCTGTTGAAATGAGCAGCAGAGCTTTGGCAGATGCTGGGAACTCCCCTGAAGCAACACAGTTGGTATTAAGGGTCTCTCATACATATCTAATGTAGGTGCAGAGCTGTATGGGGGATTTGTAGACCAGAATGCCAAAGAGCTCATAGTTAATAATGATTTTTGGAAAAAGGGAGGGAAGGGAGAGAGAAGCAAACTAATGTCCCTGGATCTCCAGATGCCTTGTGCTTTATAGCAGTAAAGGTATCAAAAATTGTGTCATTCTTTAACTGTCCCTCCTCCACAGGAAAATTCATGTTGAAAAACCATTTGAATGCAAACACCAGTGTCCTCCCATACTGGGGAGGATGTGGTTTGAGTAGCCCTCAGGCCTGACTGTGATTTCAATTGAGCATGTAATTTTTGGGTTGCCCAGTGGAGGGAGGAGGACTCTGTCCTTCTGTCTCATGTTTGCATGCAGCTTTATCAGGAGCTTGGCCAAGTTACCTGAGCCTGTGGAGGACCAGCTCTGAGATGCTCTTGTGCTGAGTTAGTTTTATCAGCTCTGTGACTGCTCCAGCATAGCCACGACAAGCAAGAGCAGCTGAGTTGGTGGTATTTTAGCAGGTTTTCCTTTTCATACCCCACTGGGCAGCACAATGCTAATGGAGTGGAAAATACAGGTTTCTGTATGCACAGCCCATGCCTGTGGGTAGGCTGAGCCCTACCAGGTCTTTGGAAACTGGACTGTGATTCTGCTCCATGCACACGTCTGTGAGTTGACATTTTGTCTGTGGGTTGTGTTAGTAGCTTGCTGTAGGGGTGAGAGTGGAAGGAGGGGTGATCCTGTGGAGGAGCAATGGCTTGAAAATCTAGTATAACCCTGTCTGGCTTACTTCATTTCTGCAAAATTGCTAACTCTATCCTCTAGAGATAAATAAGTCTATGATATTTATCTTTGGGAGATCCTGCCTCCTAGAGCTGTGCCTGTAGCGTTGTAGAGAGTATTTGGGGCGGTGGTTAGAGCGGGTGAGGTCAGTGTGTGGTTGTTTGCAGAGCACTGGGCGGTAGCCCCGGGAGGCTGCAGCGTGTGAGATGCAGCTCCGTGGGGAGGTGCAGCACACGTGGCACCGGCAGAAAGTTTGTGTGCCTATAACGGGGACAGGTTCGCGGCTCTGCGGGGCTGAGCGAGTGAGGTGAAGGGAGTGCCAGAGTGGGCACTGCTGCGGGGTTTCCTTGCTCTGTCTGTGTGAGGATGTGGTGGTGCCCTCTCATGGATGGTGCCTGTGGGAACTGGCCTTAGGATGGTCCAGTCAGCTGCTTCCTACGGGTTGGGGGGGACTAAGTGGATGCTTAACACCTCCTGCAGCGCTGTCCCTCAGGAGTCACCTTGGGCAGGAACACTTCATTACCCAGCAAATCGATTGAGCCTTTAATATTTCTATTTAAGCATTTAATATTCCATTTAAGGAGCAGCTACTGTAGTGAACTCAGTGCTGTGACACGAGGTGCAGCACTGCACAAGGCTCAGCATCCCTGTCACAGTTCATCAGGCTACAGCTGCTGGTCCCATTTGTGAGAGCGACACACCTTTTTTCCATTAATAAATCTCCCTTCTTTCCCACCATCTCTTATCTCACATTGTCTTCTGGTAGCGTTAAAACCCGCACAAATCCTAAATGAATGCACAGCGCTTTTGGACCTCTTGGGATGAGGTGCTGCGTGGCAAACAAAGCGTTAATCCCTTTGGTTGATTTTTTTTTTTTTTTGGTTGGGTTTGGAATAATTGCCTCAAATCGCGCTCTGGACTGCAGGACTCCTTGGGGTGACCTCCAAGGGAGCGATTTGCAGCCCGTGCCTTCCCTCTGGCACGGCGATGCCCGTGGGGCGGGATGGGCTCGGTGCCACCGCCGCTCTCCCCGGGGACGTTCTGCTGCCGGTGTTGGACCCTTTAAACGGGCGCAATTTCCCATTCCAGCAGAGCTTCAGGGACCTGTGGTTGCTGATGGGATTGGATCCGGAAACAGGAACAGAGAGGGACGCGAATGGGGAAGACCTTCCCTGTGTCGTGGCTGCGAGCTCGGAGGGAGCGGCTGGGGCGCAGGGAAGGGAGGACACAGGGTTTGCAGAACCTTGGGGCGAGCAACCACAAGGAGAGGTCCTTTTCCACCGGGAAACCGGGGTGTGAGCGCCTGTCCTGCCCTGGCTTGCGCCTTTCCTGCCCCGCCGGGTTGGGGTGGTGCCTTCGTGCTGCTGCTTCGGTATCAGTTGTAAAGTTGGAGTTCAGTTTGAGTAACCGAGTGATTCCTCTCCAGCCTTTTCTCCTCCCTCCGCTTCCCGTTCCTCGGCTCTGCCTTGTTTGCTCAAGTCAGGAAGGGGGAGGGTATGGGGGAAGTTAATCATTAATCTTAACTCCTTCGCAGCCATGGGGCTGAGTACTCCTGGTATTCCCAGACCAATCTTCCGCAGACTTGTAAAAGTAAACGGGTACGTGTAGCCGGGCTCACTCTGTGCCCCTAGCAAAGGGCAGTGGGTTTCTGTCCGATGGATCATCCAGCACAGCGCTGAGCCGAGCAGGGCAATTTTGAGGCGAGATAGACACAGCTGCCTGCCCTGCAGTAAGGGCTGGAGAGTGGAAAAATGGTTTGGGTCCCCTCTGCAGGGCCAGAGGAGGCCAACACCCTCACGGGATTTTCACTTCCTGGTGGAGTTTGATTTGCCTTTGTCATTGGAGGGGAGAAACAAAAACCACTCCTTCTGGGCCAGCACTTCTCTGGGAGGTTGTGTGCATGAAACTTCCAGTCATAGGACCTGCCTGACTGTAGGAATTGCAGCTCATCGGCAGTTCCCTGGAGGTATGTGCCTTTCACTCTGGAATCCACCAGCTGTTCTTTTGCTTAAAAAGAAGATTCAGTTCATTTTTCCCCAGCTGCAGAATGCTTGTATCCTGTCAGAGAATCTGCTTCTGGGGTATTTTGGCCCCTCTAGGAAGATGCCTGTGATTTAAAAGACTTGGAACATATTTTTAACTAAATGAAAGGTGTATAGAATTAATTTAACACAGTATTTAATTTGCTAATGGCTGTATTCTGTTCTCTGAGTGCAGGACCGCCTTTTTTTTCTTTTTCTTTCGTGATGCTTTGGGTTTTGGTAGAGGGAATATAAAAGCAGCACCTTCCTCATCATCTAATGCTGTAATACTGTCCTCTTTTAATGTATTTTCTTGAAGGCTTGCTAAGTGCATTGGCTGCTGTGGTCTGCTGTGCTCAGGGGGTGGCTCAGGGCTGGCAGGTGCTGCCCTGGGAGCCGTGGGCAGCCATTAGGGCGAGCAGTTGCTCGGTTGCTATTCTGGTGCCACCAGATAATTCCAGGTCCTTGTGACCCCAGTGGGGGACACGGTGGGATGGCCACGCTCAGGGTGAGCCCTCACACCCCAAACCTGAGTGTGAGTACCTGCTGTGTGCGGGAGAAAGAGCCTGCTGAGACTAAAGACAGCTGGGTCTGCGCAGGGGGATCCAGGGGTTTCAGGGAGCCTCCCCTCCTGATTGTGCTGAAGTTGTGTTATTTTCTGGCTGAATTCCACATCTCCAAAGGGACCTGCCAGGTATGTCCTGATGCTCCTACAGTCGAGAGTGCCGGTGTCCCTGGTGAACCGACTGGTCTCTAACAGCCTTCACGAGGTGTGTCCAAGTGCTGCTGCCCCAGCGGAAAGCTGGGAATGCAGCCAGGGAGGCTTTCTTTAGAAAGTGAGCACAGCACAGACCTGCAGGCACTCGCTGGAGTTCCCCCTCCAGGGACTGCAGTGGGCTCTGCAGGGTGGGCTCACAGGTCAGAAGGTCCAACAGGTTGGGGTTTGCCTGTGAGTCACTGCAGAGGAGGGCAGGGTTGGGAATGGGCAGAGGATAGTTTGCATGGAGAAATGTGGAAAGCTGGGAATGCCTTTTTTATGCCTTGTCTCTGAGGGAGAGCATTTTTCAGCTTTAATTTTTCTGAGAGGTGCTAATTGTATGACGTGGGTCCTCTCCCTGGCACGAGTGACAGTGTTTTAGCTGGTGGAAGTTTTCCTGCTCTTCAGGAATTTGTGAGCAGTCTCCACCCAGCTAGTTGAGAATTGTTTCCAGGAGAAGAAATGGCGTTTACCTGGCAGCCTCTGGAAACTAGTTAACTGTTTGTATGATGTACTGAGAGGGACTTTTATTAGGAAAATGGAAGCATGTACTTCTGCTGCACCAGTGGACTGATCTGAACGTTTCATGCTTCTTCCACTACCTTAGACTCTGGAGAAAACACCTCCTGAGATCTTGTTTCCTGCAGAAAGCAATGCCTGCGGCCACAGTAAATGACTCCGTGATGATGTGGAGCCTGTAATTAGTCTGTGTCAATATCCTGTTGCGAGTAGATCTCCGGGCAGGTTTTGCCTGGCTTGCTCTTCTGCAGGGGGCAGTGAGACTATGGATCCCTGTTGTTGGGTGGTTTTCCAGTTCAGACAAAAATCTGGGACTGACACAGCTGTTCTGGCTGGTTTGTAACATCTTGGTGTTTTTTTGTAGTAGAAGTTTGATTAACTCATTCATTCCTGGGCAGCAGTAATGTTTTTCAGGGCATTTGGTAGATTACTCTAGTTGGAAAGTCTTCCCAAAAACCTTCTGATAGAGATACTTTGAATGAGAAAAAGGAGACAAAGCTGTAGTCCAGGCTTTTACCATTTTGATTTTTCTGTTTTTTTCTTTCCTGCAGACGCCTTACTGGCAGATCTGGAATCCACCACCTCACATATCTCCAAGCGACCAGTGTTTCTCACAGAGGAAACACCTTACTCCTATCCAACTGGAAACCACACATACCAGGAGATTGCTGTGCCCCCTCCAGTGCCCCCACCACCTTCCAATGAGGCCCTGAATGGAACTGTGATTGACCCCTTAGACCAGTGGCAACCCAACACCCCCAAATACAGCCACCAGCAAGTAAGTGGATGTGGGAGGGTGCAATGCTTGGTTCGTGGGTGCAGTATCTCTCAAGAAAGTAAAGAGGAGGAATAGGAAGAAGTGACGATGAGTTTGGCTGTGAACAGAGGGGGAAAATGGGGAGAGGTGTGGGGTTTTATTAGAACTAACTGGCTGGAGCAAATGGCACAAAAGAATTTGAAAAAAAATTGTTTGACAAAGTGGTGGCGTGATGAGATTAGTGTTAGTCATCTGCCTTGTAGCCTGTGGGAAGCAGACTGGGGGTTTCCAGCACGGAGCTGCGACTCATAGGCAAGTCTGAAGTAAGTGGAGAACAGTTGTTCCTGGTGTAGCTCATCTGATAAAGGCTGGCTTGACTAAAGAGCAGATTTTTTAGAAGTTCTGCTGGGCTTTGTTCTGCCCTATCCGTGTGTGGGTTTGCAATGCAGTAAGGTACATATTTGCTTTGTATTCTCTGTTTCCAATGCAAATCTCATTTCCACAGCCTCAGTCCCAGTCTCCTATATACAGCTCTAGTGCCAAAAGCTCCAGTGCCTCGATTCCTAAAGACGGGCTCAGCTCTCCTTCTCCCCGTGCCAGTGAAGAGGAACACGTCTACAGGTATCGTGTCCCTGTTAAAAGATAAGCCTGACTCACAACTTGAGCCTGCCGTGGCTCAAGCTGCCTTCTATAAGTGGAAACAAGCACTGCTCCCTGTGTGTGTTAGGTTGCCTTGTGTCAGTTTTGATTACCTCTTTTGTAACACGCCACCTTAACTTTCATACTCGCTTCAAAGGCTGACCTGGCCCTTTGGCTTGCTCAGCTGCAAGAGGTTAAGGATCCATCAGACAGCAGGATCTGGATTGTGTTGTGAAGGATATGATCCAGACACAAGTGACAAATCCATCCCCCTGTTAAACAGCACAAAAGTTCTTTGGGAGTTGGGTGGCCTTTGGGTCAGTTAAACCAGGGAACTCAGTACTTGTGCAGTGACTTGAATTTTCAGGTAAATTTGAACCTCTTACAATCTCTGTCTCAGTAGGTGATTGATAGATAACAAGTTTGTACTCACAAAGGCAGCTGCTCTTACTCTGAGAGGTTGGAGGAGTATCCTGTGCAGTGGGACAGACCTTTCTGCTGACGTGGGGATGAGTGAGGAAGAGGCTGTCAGGACTTCATCCTGGACACCTTTTTACAGTCTGCAGACTGGTGTTTCTTTGGTGTCATGTTCTAACCATGCCAGCTCTTTCTGCTGAGCAGGAAGTTGCTTCCAACCAGAACTAACTCTGGGTAGAGGCAGGCCTAGCCAGGGATGGCCCAATGGAGGCAGTAATTGTAATTTTTTCAGACGACTGCATGCAATTAGCACGGAATGGAGGTAATTACAGCCATAAGTCCTCCTGTGCAAGGTCTGGCATGGCTTGGCTCTGTTGTGAATTGTAGCTGGTGTGTGGGTTTGGGATGAAGTATGTTCTCCTCAGATTGCAGTTGTGGATTTTTCAGTCTGAAGAGAAGGATAATAAGTGCCCTTATGGAATTCATAATTGTCACTGGTGTTACAGGTGTCAGAGTCCTTAAACCTGTTAGATATTAACTTTCTGAGCATAATGTGGTCCTGTGAATAAGGCAGAAGTTCCCATTTTCGGTTTGGAAAGTATCTTTTTGATAAAATAAGAACCTCTAGAGCATTAGAAATTGTTCCTTCATTTGTAAAATGAGGAGAAAAAAATTTCCCTGCCATAGACAATGGGAGGAAGAGTGTTACTACAGTGCAATTACTATAAAAATCACTGCATTGGTGCTAAGTCTTGCTTTGAAACACTTTGCAGTTCTGTGTGGTAAATGATATCACCCATATAAGATCATCTGTAATTGTAGCCAGCATTTTATACACGCTTGTGTATCTCACACAGTAGAAAATATATCAAATTACTTTCTTATAAATTGATTAGAAGTCCCCAAATTAAAGCTTTGAGGACTTGAGTGTTGCAAGAGGTTATCACATAACCTCTCGCTTCTGAGTTTTTGCTGATAGCGTGAGGTTTGTACTTTGCCTCTCTCTCCAGTCTGTGCTAGCCCTGCATTCCCTCGCTTCAGGGAGGAGGGTTTTGCTGCTTGGTGTGGTGTCAGCAGAAACAAGTCATTTTCCTGTATGTGAGCTAATGGGTCTGCTGCTGTTCTGTGCATTTTGGATCTGCAGACAGTTAACTCTTTCCTACAGGGCTGGGCAGCTCACAGTCCTAAAATAAGGCCCTGTCCATCAGTGTTCCATCCAGTATTTCTTCACGACTGACAACTGGAGATGTGACTAAGGAGTGGCTGTGTTTAGTCATGTCACAAAGCACACATCTTCCTTCCCCCAGAGCTAAAAGCATCAGCCTGAAGAGAGCACAGTACATGTGTAAACTTTGGGAACCTAATACGAGTTTCTCTCCATCCTTCTGCTGTATCTTGACACAGAAGTTTTCACATTCCCTTTATCTTTAGTTTCCCGAACAAGCAGAAGTCTGCGGAACCGTCTCCCACCATGACCAGCTCCTCTCTGGGCAGCAACCTCTCAGAACTGGACAGACTCCTCCTGGAACTGAATGCTGTTCAGCATACACCTGCCAGTGGCTTCTCAGCAGGTGAGGAATAGCAAGACATTTGGTGTGAGTGGGTACTTTTATTCTCAGAATAGTAGCCTGGTTTTTCCTTCCAACGTCCTTCCTGAGGGAGACCCCTCCAGCCCTTGGTCAAAGGTTCCTTTAATATGGGTGAGGCACCCTGCTCAAAGCAAGGCCAACTTCAAAACTGGCTCTAACTAAAGTTTCAAAGTTAGATTAGGTTGCTCAGGCCCTTGCACTGTTAGGTTCTTAATATCCTCAAAGATGGATGTTCCACAAGATTTCTGGACAGTTTGTTGTTCTTGCCTGTGATTACCATGTATGTGTGGAACTGGGGCTCTGAAGGGCTCTTTTCTGCTCCCCTTTCTTCAGATGAAGCTGGCAGAAGCCCATCACTGCCCAGCGTGGCTGGACCCCACTACGTTGTCCCAGAGAACAGCAGCTCTGGGGGAGGGAAGGCTGCACCCCCGACAAAGGAAAAGCCAAAGCGAAACGGTGCCCGTGGGATCGAAGATGTGCGTCCCAGTGTGGAGAGCCTGCTGGATGAGCTGGAGAGCTCCGTGCCAAGTCCAGTGTGAGTAATGTTTTGCTGGTTGCAGGCTTGGATGGGGTGGGATGGCTCCTGTGGGATTGGTGACTGTAGTGTAGGGGCAGCTGCTGCAGGAGAGCAAGGGATGGAAGATGGGCTTTGTCTAAAGGGTCAGAAATAAAGTGGGCACATGAAGATGCTGCTGCTGCTCTGTTACCTACTCCTGGATGAAAAAATGCATAAGTCATGGGTGAGAGGTGGATTGTTCAAACTCAGCTGACCACAAATGCCTGCTGTCTGACAAAATGAGTGTTCACTCATGGTCTGTGTCTTGGTGGTGTGTGTGTGCACGTGAGACTGGGCAGAGAGGCAGGGCCTGCTTGTGTTGGAGAGGTTGGGGGAGGGCTGGCCGGGGTGGGCCATGCTGAGGAAACTCCTCATTCTCTGCTTGCTCAGGGGAGCAGTGGGACTTCCAGTCTAGGAGTGCCCTCCCAGGTTAAACGCACTCTTTTTTAATTTTATTTTATTTTTTTTCCCCTCCCAGGCCTGCCATCACTGTGAGCCAGGGTGAGGTGAGCAGCCCCCAGCGGGTCACGGCCAGTCAGCAGCAGACCCGCATTTCTGCTTCCTCAGCTACACGAGAACTGGATGAGCTGATGGCATCTCTCTCTGACTTTAAGGTACCCTGTCAGGACACCTTAATACATCTGTCCCTCCCCACCCCCAGTCCCTCTTGCTGTTAGCCACATCTGCTGACCTTGTTTGGTCTCCAGAATGCCCTCTTTACCTCTCACACTTGCCCTGAGAAACTTCCTGTGGCGTATTTGTGCTTTCTGAGTGCTGCTGTAGGTGTTCTTGACTGCTATAAATTCTCATCACTGGCAGGATAAGACAGTTCTGGGATCTGTTTTTCCTTCAGTTCTGCAGTTTGTCTCTTTGCCAGAGATAATGAGCTTTGTTACTGCTCGGTACAGGGTGAATTATTTTGCTGTGCTAAAACTTAATGAGAAGGAGGGGGCATGGGACACCACTCTGCTTACTGACAGAGAACAGGCCCTTCTGTTCTGTGGGATGACCCTCCTCTCTGGAGTGTGTTCACCCTGATGTGCTTTCCCTGAGAAGGATCTTCCAGGCATGTGGTGTGAGCGCTGAAGCCTTTGCATCAGAGAGCTGGAGATTTCAAAGGTTTTATCTTAGAACAAACCCTATTATTCACCTCAAAATGGGATTAAAGTTTGAGCCTCTTGTGGGGGCAGAGGATGGCAAATATCATTCAGAATCTTGTTTGGAAATTAAACTATTGTATTAGAAAAGAAGTGCTATTTCAGTCACAAGTAGCACATAAAAGTCCCATAATAGCATAATTCCAGGATTAACTTGCCTATGGTCCTCTTGATACATGAGGCACTTGGCACTTGGATAACTTGTTCTTCATTCATATAGGTATGTTACCATTCCTGTACTAGTTGATTAACTGTGGAGGTTATTTCATGAGACTTCATTTACCCATAATCATAGCAAAATGAAAAATATTTTCTCACTTTCTACTTTCAACTGTTTTGCTTGTAGCCTTACTATCAACTTGAATTTGTTCTGAGTGTGGTGGAAAAAGCAAATATACTAGATATTCTCTTTGTTAGATTTGCCTTTCTTACATACACAGGCAAGTCTGCTTTCTAATCCTAAGAAAGTCCCTAACTTTCTGTTTTATCCTCATATGGAAGATTCTGCCAGTAGTTGGTGTTTCTTGTTTGTGCTGAGCTCCATCCCCTCCTAGATGACTTTAGGTGGGGCAGCCAGGGCTGAGATGTTTTGTGAGGAGAGGTAGAGGGGACATTCAGTGACAGCTTTGCTGTTCTTTCTGTGCCCTTTGGGTTCCATGGAGGTCAATACAGTACCCAGAGCTCTGACCAAGTGTGTGAGTTCAGAACCCAGCAGTGAACACACACGCCCTGAGGGGCTTGGCTTGCCTTGTGCTTGCTGGAATTGAACTCAGTCTGCCGTTTCTGGCACATGCACTTAATTTTGTGAGAATCTGGGAGTTACTCACTGTTTTCTCTAGACTTAGTGTAGTGTGTATTCAGTCAATTGCAAATATTGACACCTTAGTGTTGCCTTTTTTCTCCACATTAGGTCCTAGGGTGTAGCGCAGGGTATCCACAAGCATTTGTTCAGCCTGGTTGAAACACTGCAGTGTTGTGAAGCTGGAGAGAATTCACACTTGTGCTGCTGGCATTCCCTGCCCTGCCCCTTCCATGTGCTCTGGGAGCTGAGCACAGGGGCCTCGTGCCCCTGCTGCTTTTATCAGGGCTCAGAAAACAAGCTCAGGGTGTGGCTGCTGCCACCAGCCTTTGCTCCCAGGTGAGCTCTTGGCAACTGAGAATGACCTTGCCCAGCACAGGTGTTTTCCTGGCAGGATACAAGGAGGGGACATTTTTAAGTGTGGGTGTTCCAATACTTTGCAGTCTTGAATCTCCAGTAAAACCTGTGTGACAGAGACGAGCTGCTTTCTGTAATACTACCTGCCTTCCTGGCTTGGTTTCTGGTTGACCTCTGAGAGCAAACTGAAACGTAGAAAGATTTTAAGATTTCGGCTTTACAAACACAGCAGTCGTATTTTTGTGAGGCATTGAGATCATCTGTGTCTGAACATTGTTCCTGGAGCACAAATAACATGGTTTCTGTGATCATTTTCCTTTTGTTAATGATGTCATTGACTCTTTTTGAGTTATTTTCCTTTTTTCCTGTCCTCCACGTTGCTTCATTTTCCCTTCAGTCCTTTTTGTTTGGTTATACCTCCTCTGTTTGTGCCAGCTAGTGGTGTTAACTTGTCTGTAAAAATGTATTCTGGTCTGTGCCAGTGTTTGAATATGAGAGAGAAGTGAAGTTTTTCCAAAGGTAAAAGATAAAAGGCTACTGCTCGAGTACCACTACCTGTGATTGCAGGAAATAGGACAGAAAACCTAAGTATGGTGTGTAACTAGTTAGAGTTGGTTGTTGGTACAACAGAAGTTGCAGTAGGTGGGCATGAAGGAGTGGAGGGCACTGGTGCTTGATTTCCCTGGTACTCCAGAGTAAGAGGTGCAGTTGAGGTTGATACATCACCCTTTTATCATCTTTTGCTCACTTTAATGAGTTGCTCATTCTTTTTGCTTACAGAGTCCATTTGATTTTGGTTATCTAGCTCATCAGTCAGCAGGCACTGAGATCACTTAATGCACTTGTTTTTTCACCCTCTGCCATTTCTGTGTAATGTGATGCCTGCTTACTGCATAGCTGGATGCTGGTAGTTAACTATTCTGTTACTGTTGGGTGCTTACCCATTGCTCTTTATTCTGGAACTAGTGTGGTTTTGATACATTGGAAATACTGACTTCTGAGTGAAATGTTAGTCCTGCCTTGAAAATTACTGACTTCATTTGGAAGTCTGGAAGCTGTGAACCAGCATCAAACCAGGTTACTTTTACAGGTGCATCCAGCTTAGGCAGAATACTGGGAAATTACCTCTTTTTTTACTGAATGGTGGGCCTTGCTGTGCTACTCAGGGAGAAGAGCAGTCTGAAATGAATTTTGGTCTCCTGTTGCTCTTCCCTTTCTGGGCACTGCTGTTGTGACTTTGCTAATATGTGTGTGTGTGCCAGCTCCTGGCCCCTCAGGATGGCAGCAGCTTAGGGCAGCTCAAGGTTATGACTCTTCCATCTACTGACAGGTTTTATGTATGTTGTGGTTAATTTTATCCTTTTATTCATGATAAGCATCTCAGAAAGGTAAGTAGAGACTGAGATACCATACATGAGGCTTAGGAATTTATGTGCCCTGCTACCTCTGACTTGAGGCTTCTTTGGAAAATATGACTAGGAATCAGCGCAGGTCTGGATAGCTCTTGGATTTGGAAATCCTTTGTGGATACATTTTTAAAACAGAAGGCTCAGCGTTGGTCTTAGGTTGACCTGCTGTGTGAGCTTGTCCAAGCCACTGTTCTGATTTTCCCTTTTTAAGAAAAAAGGAGTAATACCAGTTTGTCTCCTAGAGTTTAGCCAGGAACCACTGGAAATGGGGAAAGAAGGACCCATGATCTTTTGTTTTCAAAAGACCCTGTAAGTCAAGGAGAACCAAACCCACTGCATTAGTTGCTCTTCTTAGAGTGTATTTTGGATCAAAATTAATACCGATTTTATTACAATGTCAATGTGGAGACTTTGGCCTGAGGGAATGATGTTAATCTGCCACCTAAGCAATGCTCACAAGGGCATGGAGTGACTGACAGACTCATATAGATTCAGTGTGTGCCATGTCCAAGGTGAGATTAGTGATGTGAATAGAACAAAGCCCATGTCATCTGCTCTTGCTGTGAATGCCCTGAAGCTTTGTTTTCACTGCCACGAACTCAGCCAACTGGAGCATTTTATTAGTGTATCAAGAAGAAAATGTCATGCTTTGTTCTCTTCATTGATTGAGGGTTTTTTCAGCTTTGAAATATAAAATTTACATGTCTGTCTGTTAATAAGTTGAAAAAGTGACCTTTCCTCACAGCCCAGACATTCCTGGGTTCGTGTCTGGCTTCCCAGTGGCCGTGACGTGCCCCGTCACAGCTGCAGGTGAACACGTGAGCTGTCACTCAGGAGGAGGCACAGGAAAAGGATCTCGGTGGCTGCAGAACTCATGTGAAGATCAGTACAATGTCATACTGGTTCTGCTCTTTGCTATCTCACTTTCTTTCCTTACTCCTGGAAGTAAGGCTTTGGATCAACATGGCTTTTTGATTTGGAAGTTGATTGTTAAAATGCTTAACTCTTTGCTTTTCCCCCCCCTTCTCCTTACATCTGTCTTTATCTCTTTCTCTCCTTATTCCTTCTGTCTCCTTTTTGCAGACTAGTTCCACTATGTCTCTGATTTCTGAACCCTCCCTAGAACCAGTTCCCAGCTCAGCAAATGCAGACTCCAGCGACACCCCTCCCAGTTTAACAGTGCTGCCCCATTCCAAACACCCTTCTGCAACTCACAGTGGGGACTGGACGGTGCCACCATGTGCCCCCTCAGCAGAACTCTGCGCTGAGGGAGGCAGTGACACTGCAGTGCTGGCTGTTCCAGGGCATCCTGCTGCCCCTCCACCTGTGCCCCGTTTGACACAAGCAGTCCCTGTGCCCCCACCACGCAGCTCTTCTGGTTGTGCTACTCGTGGGGAGCAGGTGACTTCTGCAAGCTTGGCTCAGCTGAGCAGAAAGCCTGACTTTTCTAGAAACTCCTCCCAGGCTCTGCCAGCTTCCAGTGTGGAGCTTCTCTGTAGACCTGCTGATGTGGAGGCACGAGGCCTGGACTATGATTTGGCAAAAGAGACTGAGAAGAAGGAGCAGAGAAGTGACCCCAAAATCTCAAGTATATCCATTTCAAATGCTTCAAATGGTCAGGGGAAGGGGCAGGTACCCAAAGAGCTGGATCAGCAGGGAGCATTGATGGACAAGTCAGCCCTTTCCTCCCTGGGCAGAAGTGTGGAAACAGCTTTAGATGAGCTGTGGGCCCTGGAGCTGCCTGCACATGCACCAGAGATACATGCAAAGAATGACAGCGTTTTGGATTCTGTTAATGAACCCTCTGTTGTTGCCCTGGATCGGTGGGATGTCTTCCCAGACACTAGAAACCAGTTGGGCTTTGTAGTGGAGCAAGGACAGGAGGTAAAAGC